CGGGAACCGGTCATCTTTGGAGCTCAGATGCGCTTCAACTTGCGCGAATCTTTCCCTCTCCTGACCACCAAGCGTACCTTTTGGCGTGGGGTCGCTGAAGAACTCCTCTGGTTCATTCAATGCAGGTGTCGCATGACCCCCGGCCAATGCCCTTGTCAAGACTCGGTGCACCATGCCTCGCTGACCTGCCCCGCCCCCTCCCTGTCGCAACCAAAATTGGCCAATTGTGCACACGTCATGCGCAGGCAACACCAACGCCAATGACCTGGCTGCACGAGACGTTCACATTTGGGATGCCAACGGGTCAGTTTGGCTAGTCGCCTCTTCTAAACCTGTGGGGACCTGCCCCCGCGGTGTCTGATCGTGCCATTGCATTGCGAATATTCGCGCGGTTTTGCCTGGCTATGCCACAGCTCCAAGGACTTTTTGGAGAAGCAAGGCTTGGGCCATCGCGAGGAAGGAGACTTGGGCCCAGTCTACGGCTTTCAGGTCAGCTCGAGACGCGCTCCCACTTCTTCTCTCCTAGCCATAGTCATCTGCTGCTGCCCTTTGACCTTGAGAGCGCCCTGCTTTTCTCTTTCATCCCAACTTGTCACAGTGGCGCCACTTTGGCGCCGAGTACAAGGACATGCACACGGACTACAGCGGACAGGGGGTCGACCAGCTCGCCGAGGTCATTGAACAGGTGAATGGGTCCCTGCTCAAGCACTCCGGGCTGTAACGGTGTGCCGCTCGCTCCGGCCTCACTCGGTGCTCTGCCGACCGGGCCCGTCATAGATCAAGACCAATCCTGATAGCCGCCGCATCATCATGTCGGCCTGGAACCCCCTCGGTTCGTCGTGTTTCGTTCGATCGCACGACGTTGATGGCCCTGTTTCGTTCGACCGTACTTCCTAACGGCCCTCAACACGCGACCCACTCGTCGTCGTGATGTCGTTTGCAAACTGCTGGTCTCATGCGGTTTGCGTTGCATTTTATTGCCTGCCGGGCACGCACGGTTCAGACATTCCCAAAATGGCCCTGCCGCCGTGCCATACCATGTGTCAATTTTACGTTTGTGACGGCGAGCTCTCCTGCCAGCTGTACCAGCGTTCTGCAGACATGGTAGGCCAGCTCCTCGTCATTGCTCGCGCCAAGGCTGGCTCTGTTGCTCACCCGTCTCATACTTTTGTGGATGCGGGGCGGGCTGGGCTTTGCAGGGCTTGGGCGTGCCTTTCAACATTGCCAGCTACGCACTCTTGACCTACATGATTGCGCAGGTCACGGGCTTGAAGCCCGGTGACTTTGTCCACACGATTGGTGATGCTCACGTCTATCTGAACCACGTGGATGCGCTTGAGGAGCAGCTCAAGCGGGAGCCTCGCCCCTTCCCCACGCTTAGCTTTAAGCGCGACATCGAGGAGTATGTACACGCTTTTGGACAGCATGTGACCAATCCACTCGAGCATCGGCCGACTGCTGCCCTCCTCTCACTTGGGTGTGTCTGACATGTGCAGCATCGACGACTTTAAGTTTGAGGACTTTGATCTCCAGGGCTACAAACCCCACAATCGCATCGCCATGGACATGGCCGTCTAAAGCATCGATGCCCCACTGCAGCAGTAGGCCTGCCCGATTTTTGGTAGTTGATGGCTGCCTGAGGGTCTGTGCCTCTGCACGCGTGTGTGTCATGTGTGTTTGTGTGTGTGTTTGTGTGTATGTTTGTTCGGACGGCGTGTGCAGAGCTGGCCGGCATGTTGTTGTGTACTACCTGTGGATTTGCCGCCTTGGCTGCACACCATCTTGTGTGTTTTGGTATTGTTGTTTGTGAGCGAGCTTCGCGGGGTGTGCAACCGGCGCGACGTCGCATGACTTGAATGTCAACGTTCTGAGCAAGCACCTCGTTGCACAGTTGGATAGTTTTGCTGCTCGCACTTGTGTTTAGCTTTTGATTTGTTGATTCGGGAGCTTGGCTCCAAAGCCAGACATGGCAGACGAGAAAACCAGCAATCGAGGCGACACTGTCACCGAGTTACAGTGTGGCCTCTTGGCGACAGGAACAAGTTAGGCCAGGTCCTAATGCGCGGGTGTATGTGTATCGTGCATGTGTGAGTGAGAAGGGGAAAGAAAAGCGTGAAGGAACAAGCTACCGCAGTTGACGGTCGGCGCGTTGCGCGAGATGCCCAACGTCGGCGGTATTGCGGTCAAGGCGGGTGTTGAGGGTATCGAGTCGCTCAAGTTGGTGATCAAGGGTGTGGGCGGTGCGGGAGGCTTGCTGGCGTGCGAGCCGGGTCTGGCCCCGGATGTCACGCAGCAAGCGCTGTCCCTCAGCATCGAGGCCGCTCGGGTCGTCGGGTTGGCTGGCGGCGGGCCCGACCACAGCATCGGGGGCCAACACGATGTCAGCGTCCTCAAAAATGGCTTCAGTGCCTGCTGGGGGTTGCGCGTGGTCACCAGTCGCTTGGTCAGGGCGGGGCCTGCTGGACCAAGTCCAGGGTATCAGATACGGGGGGATCCAGGCTTCGAGTCGGCCCAGGAGGGAACTCGCAACCGCGGTGTTGTTGTCAATCTTGGCCTGGGTGCCATCGAGACGGTCCAGCGTCTCCTCATCTTGATCAAGGCCCTGATTAATGTCTGACAAGAGGCCGTTCAGGTATTCACCCCGCGCAGCCACCTGTGCGAGCTGCGCGTTGACATCGCTGCTGCCATCCCGCACAGCTGACGGCCGCGTCATCTCTCTCTCTCTCTCTCTCTCTCTCTCTCTCTCTCTCTCTCTCTCTTTTCACGCAAGCAGAAATGCAGTGATCGGTAACAGCAGACGAAGACAGTCAGATTTCCAAAATTTGTAAGACTTTATAAGCCAGGGATATCTGCAATAAGTCTGATAATAGCTGCAAAAGTGATAGAGGATACATAAACAATATAGCGTCTTGGTAAATAAAATCTGCAATTACACGAATAAAACAAGCGTAAACCCGTTCAAAGGACAGCCACCCGACGAGGCATCCTTGTGATGGCCTCCTCCATAGGTCGGATGCGGGCGGCCATCATGTGTACGCTTGCCATGATCACTCAGACCGCTTGCTGACGATGTGGTCGTCGTGGGTCACGTTGGTTGAACGCTACTCCAGAAGCAGGGGGCGGGGGGTAGCGGCTGTCCGCTCGAGTGACCCCTGTTTGATGGCTGTTCAAGCCGGCAAGCATGATAGGGGCCAATCGATGGATGAAAACTCCCAGACCAGATCCAGCGAAGAAGGTTCCTTTCGACCATCAGAAGAGCTTCCTAATTTCTGCGGCGGCGCCATCATCAGCGCCCACTGGGATCGCGACTTGCTCCCCCCCGGATGTCCAGTGATGCGCTCTGGCACATGGTCGGTTCTGTGATGACGCGATGGCTTGTGTTGTCTCTTCTTCATCACCACTGCGTGTGGCCCCGCCTGTGTCCCAGCCCCTCACTGCCACCGAAGAGAACGACAGCCACATGCATTAACCTTCACTATAGCCACGTAAAGTCTTGTGGTGAGCATGAACGTTTCTTCAATGACTGAATAATTTGCTGCATCATCTTGGGGAAAGCTTGTTTGGTGGTTGCTCCGACGGTGGCTCGGGCGCCATTTTTCTTGTTTTTTTTGGCGCTTCTTGGCTTCCGAATTCGCTTGTTGGTTGTTCGGTTGCCGCTTGGGTCGTTTAGAGATCGGCCGCGACGGTACCGTGTAATTTGAACCAGAGCTTTGTGTCTACAGCCAACAAGCTGGTTCTTGAGGTTGGTTGGTGCTGCCTTCCCGCCGCGGTGATGCGCAGTGCATCTCGGCTGCTGCGCCGCTGTGTGTATCCCAGTGTGTCAGGCCACCCAAGTTGCTCTGCCCCACCTGCCCCACCTGCGCCATTCTTGATTGCCACCGACCACCCCCGCTCTGTGCCGTGTGCGGATGACAACACAGTTGCTAGCACACCCTATGCTGACTCCACACCACATTTGCACAAGCCACGCACCCACAAGTCATCCGATCTTCTTCTCGCCGCTTTCGTGTGTGGCTGTGATGTGACGCTGCGATTACTCCGTTCTCCCCCGCTTGCTTGACGGCTGTCGCTGTTCACGCGATGACCTGCAGCTGGCAGCTATGGCGGCTGTCGGTACTGGGGTAGCTAGCTTGCTGACAGTGACTTCATAGCTTTGGTCGCTTGGTTGCTTGGTCAAACGTTCTTCAGTCATGCATGCCGTTTGCCAATGGGAATTGCTTGTGCTGACCAACACGCAAGCGAAAATCTTACTTTTTTTTTTTACGACCGCAAAATAGTTTTGGGTGGTTTGGTGGTGACGCTGTTTTTGACGTGCTGTGACTTGTTTTTGTTTCCCCATTGTTACAGCCAGTGTGTGTTAGTGGTGTTGTGTGGAGTGGTGGAGGTCCCTCGTTTACGTGTACAGCTTTCCTTCCCTCCAGCTCCTTCCAACACTCTACACACAACACAACACAACACAACACAACACAACACAACACACAACACAACACGAAGGTCATTTTGACTGACAAAGGTGTTGGCTCACTTCCATGTCCCCCCCCCCCCCCCCCACTGCTTCACTGCTTCCCCTTCACCCTTCGATCACTCTGTGTGTGTGTGTGTTGGATTTGGCAGCGCCTCAAGGGTGGTTGGGATCGTGGTGCCTGGCACAGGAGTCTCACATGTGAATGCTGTGTGGCTGGTTCGGTTGGATGGCCATAGGTTCCTCGGTCAAAGAGGAGAGAAAAAACAAACAAAACAAACAAAACAAAAATCATTACATCATCGACAAGAGGTAAGCGACAGACTGCCTGACAGTGGCACGACCCCAACCCCGGCTCTGCTTCACAGTCCCAATACACACGCGACCCCCCCCCCCCCCC